TTATTTATTTATTTATTTATTTATTTATTTTGCGGAACCAGAGATTGAATTCAGGCCCTTGCGCTTGCCAGGGAAGCACTTATTCCGCTAAGCCATCTCCCCAGCCCTAGGCAGGACTTCTGATGGGTCCCTTCTCATCTTGCCATGAAGATGGCCACATTCTCATCCCCCAGGAATCTCTAGAAACCTCTCCTGAGCAGAGAGATACAGGAACTGAACAAAGGAATATATATCCCTAGCCCAAAAATCTAAAATCCAGGGTGGGGAGATAGCTCAGCAATCTGAGTGCCTGTCTGGCAAGCACTAGGACCCGTGTTCAAACCCCAGGACCACATGCTGTGGCAGCCACCACAACTGGGCATGGTGACACACACCTGTAATCCCAGTGCTGGGGAAGCTGAGACAGAAGGATCACTATGAGTCCAAGCTGCATTGTAAGACCCTGTACCAAAATAAATTTAATAAATCTAAAATCTAGAATGCTCCAAAGATTTTGGAGCTTTTCAGATTAGAGATGCTCACCCAGTAAAGTCTATATAGATATTCCAACACCCAAAAATATCTCACATCTAAAACATTTCTCAAGCACTACTTTTGCTCTTTGCAGATGAACAAGGCAAGGCTCATTTCCTGAAAAAATTAAGCCCTGTCACTGTAATTGTGCCATGTATTTTCATTCTATTAGTAAGGAGCATTGCTCATGAATTGATTCCGTAGGTCATGTCAAAGAGCTAAGCACACAGAACAAAAGAAAGGCAGCTGCTTTATGGGATTAAAAACTTGAGTAAGCTCTGTGGGTTGAGGACAAAACTCCAGTTCAATCATGGAAAAAAAAAAATCAAGTTGCAGAACTATTGTGTACTTGCTACAGCTTGCAAATAAAAATGGTTCAGGAAAGGTGGAGACTTATGCATGCTAATGCCTGCCTAAAGAAATTCTGCAGCTGGGTGTGGTAGTGTACACCTGTAGTCCAGCATTTAGGAAGCTGAGGCAGGAGAATTGCAAATTCAAGTCCAACCCAGGCAATTTAGCAATCTAGTGAGACCCTGTCTCAAAAAAGAGGTGAAGTGTAGTTCTATGCAAAGACCTTGGGTTTAATTCTTAGTACCGCGAAGAAAATAAAATTGAGGGATGATACCCAAGAAATCAATAGGTGGAGCTATGAGAAGTGAGAACCAGGTGGGAGGAAGGCCTTTTTTATTGGACAGAGACGGTTTATAAGGGTCACAGAGAAATCCATTATGCCTGTTACAAAATTAAATATTTCAAAAGGCTTGCTTTCTGCCTACTTCCAGAACTAATTTTGCACACCTTTCTTGCAGGTGAAGTCCAAGACAGTGGCTCAGTGCGTGGAGTACTACTACACATGGAAAAAGATAATGCGATTAGGGCGAAAACACCGAACACGCCTGGCAGAAATCATTGAAGACTGCATGGTGAGTGAAGCCACTGAATTCTTGCTTGTGCTAGCTCCGTCCGTCTGTCCACCCCCCCTCCCCCCCGCCCAGGTTAGTGATTGCCTGGTATTTGGTTTGGCTTAATCAGCAATAGCTAGATCCCCCGCGTGAGGTAGACTAAAGTCCTGCTCCCTGTAGGTCTCAGGTCATGACTTCCTGTTGCAGGTGGAAGGAAGGCATCGTCAGGTTAACCTGTAGAACAGTGTTTAGTGACACATGATGGCCCGTACATCAGCACCACAAGCATAAAATCAGCATGGTCCCAGGCTCCAGTTGGTTGCTTTGTTAAGCAGGTGATCTGACCCATGGAGTGCTTCTTCTTAATCTTTCTAGTCACTGATTCTGTTGGCCATAACAAGCCTTGGAAAGATAGAGGCACCCTAGAGTTTTTCTTTTCCTTTTTTCTTTTTCTTTTTCTTTTAGATAGGGTTTTGCTTTATAGTTTAGGCTGGCCTTAAAGTCATTACATAGTCCAGAGCTTGCCTTCAACTCACAGCAATCCTCCTGCCTCAGCCTCCCAAGTACCGGCATTACAGACATGTTCCACCACACTTGGCACGCTAGGGTTTCTGAAACCTCTCTAAAACTTGAACAAGAGGAATTTAGTCACTGCGGATTTGGTGAGCAGCATGCAGATGACCCTAGCACCTCTGGTAGCAGAGGAAGTTGCCTGCATATGAAGTACACACTATAGGCCTAAGATGGAAATAGTCTCTGACAGGCCCACATGCGTGACTCTGGTAATTATTGTCACTTGTGATTCGTTCTTTTGCAGAACCAGGGATTGAACGCAGGTCCTTGCATTTGCCAGACAAGCACTTATTCCACTGAGCCATCTCCCCAGCCCCCTGCCACTCGTGATTCCTTGTAAACTCTCCTCTCTGTATCCGTAGCCAGGGGAAATCTCCTGTCACACTTAGTGAGAAACATTCCAGATGTGCGTGTATACATCATACCTTGCAACAAGTGACTCAACTTTAGCCTCTGTTACATGCACATGCACGGAAGTGTTCACATTCATGGATATTTGCATTTATAGTTTCATTCCCTGTGAGATGTTAGCACATACAGGTTATTCTCTTTAGTAGATGCTGTAATATTTTCTAAGTGCCAGGCTTGGTCTGAGCAGTTTATAAATATTGACTTATCTAATGCAGTATAATTCATTTGATACCAATTCCCTGAAGTAGGAAACTGAAACAGCCTAAGCAAGCTGACCAGAGTCACACAGCCAGGGAGGGTGCTGCCTGAGCCTGATTCTCTCCTGTTGTACTTAAGAGCAATCAAAAATAAGAATTCTTGGCCCAAGGAGATGGCTCACTAGAATAAGCACTTGCCTGGCAAGTGCAGGGTCCTGAGTTCAATTCCCGATACCGTAAAAAAAAGAAAAGAAAAGAAAATTCTCTTAGCAAAGTACAAAAGCATGTGGACTGAGAGCCTCAAAGCCTTAGCTAAGCATCTACCCTAGCTGTGATGTATACACAGGTGCACATTTATATTTGAGCCCAAATGTTAGAATAGAAAATTGTGGAAAAGAATGGCATTGCCATTTTTAAAATCAAAGATGGCTGTATTCTATATTCAGGATGGCCTATGACCAGAGCTGCTTTTTGGCTTAAGTCTTGATAACTTATATCAAAATAGCCTTTTGGGCTGGGGAGATACCTCGGCAGTCTAAGCAACCTGCCTAGCAAGCACAAGGACCCAGGTTCAGTCCCTGGTACTGCATGCCATTGTGGGCCACAAAAACTGGGCATGGCACATACCTGTAATCCGAGTGCTGGGGAGGCTGAGCCAGGAGCCTCACTATGAGTCCAAGCTGTGTAGTGAGACCCTGTATTGAATATATAAGATTTAAAAAATATATTTTTTAAGGGCCGGAGAGATGGCTCAGTGGAATAAGTGCTTCCCTGGCAAGTGCAAGGACTTTGTAATGGATATACACAGCAAGGATGTTCAGTGAGCCCTGCCTCCTGGCCCCCTACCACCCAGAGGATATATCTAGTTGGGACAATGTGACACATACAAGTGGCAAGTTTACCTTGAATTCCAAGAGCGTTTAAGAGCAGTATGAGAACTACGAAGTCTTAAAGACAGCCTTAAGAACACTCAGTAGTTCCACCATTTTACAGGCAGCAGACTGAGGCTCAGAGAAGAGCATGGGCTTGCCTATGCTCACAGAGCATTGCTGGGCAGGTGAGTAGGTTGGACAGTGGAAGAGGAACCCCCGAGAATCTGGTCTTGGAGGCCTAGCGCTGTGCTCCTGAACCTGCTGAACTGTACACCAGGGTAGATGATTTATGATTCAAAAAATCCTTTCCAGTTCTGAACACTCTGGGTACTATCCGTGCCATGTTTTGAAAAGGGCAAGATCGGGAGATCTGGGCTAAGGTCATTTTGTACCTCTCTGGCATAGGTGTCATCAAGTGACTAGGATAGTGCCTGACATAATGCCACCAATGCTTGCTCATGAGTAGGTGAACATTTTTTTGAGCTGGGGGTCAGTCAGGTTCATGGGAACATCCCATCTCTGAACTCTCTAGGAGAGCTAAGATGATGGCCAAGGGCTGCACCTTTTGGGCTCACTCTCCATGAGCCAACATTGGATGGTGCCAAAGTATCCACGCTCTTGTCACCTGTGAGCTTAGGAGAACAGGAAGCTTATGTGCAGAGGTGACAGAAGCAAGGAAGTCTTGATCAGTGAAGGCCAGTTGTAGCTCCTGCCTCCTCTTGGGCACTGTGTGCGCTGTCAGCTGCTGAACACTGTTTGCCCATGAAGACAAATGTTGGCACATCTGGAAAGTGCACAAGCACAGTCTTAGGACAGGGTCCTGCTCTGTGTAACCTGGGCCTGCCCGGGTTAGCAGGGACAGCTCACTAGGTCATGTGTCCTCAATGGTGTATTAAAGGATAGGAGAGGCAGGCATAGGGGTGTACCCTGTCTTCCCAGCACATTTGGGATGGGACCAAGGAGTGTAGAAGACTAAAGTTTTAGAATCAGACCAGACAGGCTTTGAATCTCAGGTCAACTTCTTTACCAGCTTGTCACCTTGACAAAACTCTTTCTCTGACCAGTTTCCTTATTTGTGCAGGGTTCTTGTGAGAACTAGGCTGTGTGTGTGTGTGTGTGTGTGTGTGTGTGTGTGTGTGTTGCCTCATTCATACCGTTTACTCTGTACACTGTTGTCACTGTTATCAGTAGTAACACTCAAATTTGTCTTTGAGCAGGTTTTGGTTGTTACACATTCATTCTAAATTCCTAGTTTCCCATAGTATGAGTTACATTTGCATGCCTGAGAAATAAAAATGTCATCCCCCTCAAGAAAGTCTGTGTGGACACTGGAGGTTTGTGCACAGTGTTAAATATGCAGCCTCCTCCCTGCCTTCTATTTATCCACTTTGCAGCAATTTTGGAATATTACTAAATGTTTTGCAACACATCATAAAATGACCAACTTGTTGATACAAAGTTCTACATGTTAGGATTTTTGTCCTCCTATCTTTGTATCTCTTAGTCATTTTGTGAGCCATATGGCTTGATGATAAATCATTTTGTGAATGTGTAGATTGCCAGTTGAAATAAAACCTATCTAAATTCCTGAGACACACATAATCACAGTACAGAATAATTTAATCCACAATTTCGTGGGTGCAGCAAATTTTCTTCTAAGTTTTAACCAAAAGAATGGCATTATGAAAAAATTACACAAGTACCATGAAACAAAGCATTGTCATTTAAAGTTAATTAATTCATTTTCAGCATAAAACTGTAGACCATGGTCTACCTACGTATTCAAGACCACAAAATCCCAGGTTTTTTTGTTTTTTGGTGGGTTTTTTTTTGTCTGTTTCTTGCTTTTTTTTTTTGAGGTAGGGTCTCACTATGTAGTGTAAGCTGGCCTTGAATTCATGGTGATCCTCCTCCCTCAGCCTCCCAAGTGCTGGGATTATTCACATGTACCACCATATCTGGCATGTTCCAGTTTTTTAAAGAAATAGGAAAAGCCTTTGTAGTTTGAAGTAATATAGTTTTGCCTAAACATTTTGGTCTGAAAGATGGTGTATTCCTATAGAAATAAAACCACTGACGTGAAATCAGACCTTGTGTTCTATACGCTGAGAAGTTTGCCACATACATCATACCCCACACCATAAAATGATTAGGTTGGGGCTGGGGAGATGGCTCAGTAGGATAAGTGCTTGACTGGCAAACGCAAGGATCTAAGTTCAAATCCTGGTTCTGCAAAAAATAAATAAATAAATAAATAAATAAATAAATAAATAAATAAATAAAATGGTTAGGTCTCCATCAGTATGCACTGAAGTCTTAAGTCTGCCTTGCCAATCTCAAACACCCATGTGTGAAGTTATGGACAAGCAGCACCAGAACGGTGCCCTTCGTTAATTGGCGTTGACTTTCTCACCCAAACTAAAATGGGAGAGGAAGCCTGTGATTCTGGATCCCAGAGCACCACTGCTCTCAGAAATTTTTGCTCTTCTTGGAAATTGGTACCTGTGGGTTCTTGGAATCACTTACTTCCCCAGTTCTTCACTCAGGGAAACAAAGGCTGGTGTGCACTTGCTCTGAGAGTGGGTGTGCAAAGAGGGCCTGGCAGAGAGGAATGGCCTGTTGGGGCAGAAGTGGTGAATACCACTTGTGTTCGCAACTGTAAAAGCGGGAGGGTTGTTTACAGCCTGTTGGTAACAATCAGTGTGAAAGCATTTTGTAAACACAGTATACAAGCTGCAATGAAGGGAATGTGCTGCAGAATCCCCTGCCTAATCCAGTCCTTCCTGGGGTTATGGGAGGCAGCAGCCCTCTGCCAGCACCCAAGGAAAGCACAGAGTTCAGTGCTTAGGAGAAGTAAGGGAGGTTTCTCCCATCCCCCATCCATGCTCCCTCCTGTCACTGGCCCTGGATTAGCCCCAGGGGGGAGGGGACTTTCTGCTTCATTCTCCTCCCAGTTCCCTTTCTGCCATGGAGTCTCTGATTTACAAAATGCCTCTAGCGGGAGAATATGAGTATGTGGAAACATTGACTAGACTGCTTTCTCCAGGCCTGTAGTCAGACAAAAGAAAATGCATATGATACATTAAGGAAACCTCCCCCCTTCCCTCCCATCCCGCTTTTCCCAGTACTTTCTGAGAAGAGCAGAGTAGGAACTTAACACCATGGGGCATCACCGAGACCCACATGCACACTCTGCTGGGACTAGCAGCCTGGCTGAGGTTTTGTTATCTGTAAGATCTAATCATCTTGGGCTGGGGAGATAGCCCGGCAGTCTAAGTGATTGCCTGGCAAGCACAAGGACCTGGGTCAGTCTCTGTACTGTATGCCTTGCCAGCCTCCGAACCCCAGGAGTGCTATGTTGACCACTGAGACCAGGCATGGTGGCACCTGCTATAATCCCAGTACTTGGGAGGCTAAGACAGGAGGATCACTATGAGTCCAAGCTACATAGCGACCTGTACCAAATAAATAAATAAATAAATAAATAAATAAATAAATAAATGATTAAAAAATAACTAATCCTCTTGAACAAGGAAGATAATCTACCTATAAAAATCTCTCCTCTCGCCAGGCTTGGTGCTAAAAGCATTCTGACAGGCTGAGGCAGCAAGAAGATCACAAGTTCCAACCAGTCTGGGCAATTTAGTGACTTAGTGAGACCATGTCTCAAAATAAAAAATAAACCCCCTGGGGCTGGTGAGATGGCTCAGTGGTCTAAAGGACCTTCTTAGAACAAGCTTAGCAAAGCACAGGGACCGAGGTTCAATCCCCCAGCACCACATGCCAGCCAGCCCCGCCCCCTGGTGGGCTGAGCTGGCCACACACACACACACACACACACAAATAAAATAAATAAATAAATAAATAAAAATTTAAAAAGAAATAAACCCCCAGTATAAAAACAAAGTAAAACCTCTCTCCTCTTTCCCTTAGCATTGTTTTTAATACAAGGATTGAGGGTTGGGGATATAGCTCAGCAACATGAGCACCTACCTGGCAAGCATAAGGTCCAAATTCAATTCCTAGTACCAAAAAAAAAAAAAGTGAGGGATGAGGGACCCAAAGTATGGCAAGAAGACTTCTTGACTTCAGATTCTAAGCATCGAGACCAACCTTTTAGAAATTGAGTCTGGCAGACTGTCACAAGTTCTTAGGCAGAAGGTGACACACAGCCCCACTCCCAGCCCCTCTACTAGCCTAAGAGTTTTGTTGCCTCTAAAAATGCTCTGTGGGGATTTCTTCATTCTTCCTTTTATTAACATTAGACGAGTGAAGAGGAAGAAGAGTTAGAAGAGGAAGAGGAGGACCCGGAAGAAGATAGGAAATCCACAAAAGAAGAGGAGAGTGAAGTCCAGAAGTCTCCAGAGCCTCCGCCAGTGGCTGTTGTGGCTCCCACCGATGGACTGTCCCTGCAGGCCCCTGGCCAGCCCTCGGGCGCCTTCATCTGTGAGATGCCCAACTGTGGGGCTGTAAGTGTGTGTGTGTCTTCCGTGGCTCAGGAACAAATGAGGGCTGTGCACATGTGCCTAGCTGTAGGATACGACACACCCTTTCAGTGCTGATGGCTCTGCAGCGCACCCCTGGGCCTGGTTCCCCCAAGGTCACACCCTGTGGACACCCATGGAGCCCAGAGACAGGATCACCCTTTTCTCATGAGATTCCACGCCCCTGCTGCCTGAAGTTCCACCTGCCTGGAAAGTTTTGCATAAAGTATGACTAATTGGAATGTCACTAATTTGAATTTGAGAAAGTTGTTACAAAGGTTAGCTCAGGTTTATCTTTGTACTGTGTGGAGATGACAAGATGCACTAAGCAAACTGACCATGTGATAGCCTGCGAGAGCATCTGCGGGCCCTGAAGGAGCCTTCCAGAGGCCGCGCGGCCTGTGCATTTTAAAGGACACATTCAGAAGTGATTTCCTTTGGGTGCTCAGTATATCCTGTTCCCTACTAGTCTGAGTTAGTGTCTTAAAGCTGGGCACATCAGTGTAGACAAGTTCTCCAGCACTCTGTAGAGGGTGCTCCTCTTTTCACAGGACGCCCCTCTTCTTCCAGTGTCTCTCATCTTAGTATGATGAATGCTGCTTATTGAGTCTGTCACATAGATGAAGATAGCAACTGTCTAAAATATTCATATCCTCGCCAGGTGTGGTGGCACATGCCTGTCATCCCAGCACTCTGGGAGGCTAAGGCTGGATGACCCTGCTATATGGCAGTCTTCAAAACACTGCCCAGGTCTCAATCCAGTGTTGAAAATATGGATAAATAAATACTCATATCTTAAAGCAGAATTCACTTTATATACATCGAAGAAAAAGTTGGGGAAAAGGATATGTACCTTTTGTGTTAGCTATGAAGAAAACATGAGGAACTGCTGGCTCGCTTCCATCCCAGATGTTTAGTGGCCTGGCCCCTGCCGTTGCCATTTTGCATAAAGCACTGCAGGGATGATTAAGATGTGACTTTAAATGGCAGCATTTCTTAGTGACTTTGTTCGGAAACTGGATGCTTACAGCAGTCACAAATGCTAAATTTTTTTACAAAGCAGAAAGTCACCTTTTACCTTGCCCAATCAGAAATGCTCAGAAAAAAAAAAAAAAAAAAAAAAAAGTTCAGAAAGATCCCCCCTCCCCCAACCAGGGATTGAACTCAGGCCCTTGCGCTTGCCAGGGAAGTACTTATTCCACTGAGCCATCTCTCCAGCCCCCAGAAAGATAATTTTTAGGGGCTGGTGAGATGGCTCAGTGGTCTAAAGCACCTACTTAGAACAAGCTTAGCAAAGTACAGGGACCATGGTTCAATCCCCCAGCACCACATGCCAGCCAGCCCTGCCCCCTGGTGGGCTGAGCTGGCCACACACACACACACACACATACATACATAAAAAAAAATTAAAAAAAAAAAAAAAAGAAAGATAATTTTTAAAGACTTTTAAAATCATGCTACTTTTTTTCCTTCCGTAACTTTGAAGTCAGTGGTTGCTAAATTTATAATAAGATTTTTTTTTCTCTGTAAAACAAGAAACAGGGTCATGAACTGAGCACAGAGCCCCCCTCTCGCCGGGGTGCCTGTGGGGCAGCCCAGTGGCTAACCAGGTTAAGGAGCTGGATGCGCTCAGCATTGGGGGTGTGGTGTGCAATGGTTCTGGACTGGGGGTACTTTGTTCTCCCAAGGGGACTTGGCAGTGTCTGAGGGGATGTTGTTCTCGGGGCTGCAGAGGTGGCATCTGTTAATCAGAGGCTAGAGACAGTGCTAGACACCCTGCAGCACACAGGACAATCCCTATGACAAAGAGTGGCCCAGGCGCTGATTATGTTCACACCAGAGTTCTGAGGCTGGAGACCACTGAGCTGCTGCCCCCATCTCAGCCAGAGGACCTCTGCTTGTAACTTGAGTTTTGAATAGACCACATACGTTAATAGACAGGGAGGGAAGGAAGCAATTTTTAGCCTTAAATAAACTTTGAGGGGCCGGGAGATGGCTCAGGAGAATAAGCTCTTGCCTGGCAAGCACAAGGGCCTGAGTTCAATCCCTAGTCACACACACACAAAAAAAAAAAAAAAAAAAAAAAAACTACACAGTTCATAATTTCTAGATCTTAGAAGCATCCCATGTATCCATCAACAGGGGAACAGATAAAATGTGGTAGGTATACATAATGGAGTACTACTCTGCCAGTAGTAGGATGAAGTTGAGTCATGTGTAGAGGATGAAGTCATGTGTAGAGATGAAGTCATGTGTAGAAGGATGAAGTTGAGTCATGTGTAGAGAGTCATGTGTAGAGAAATGGATGCATCTTAACCATAATGCTATGATGAACTGTACGAGACATGGCTGGTCACTTGTCACATGGTTTCAGTGACATGAGAAACCTAAAATGGGAGTTAAAAACCAATAAAAAAGTGAAATGGTAAGCAAGAGGGAGGTACACTGTGGAGATGAAAAGAGGATCTGGGAGGGCGGGGAGAGGAGAAGAAGGTAACAATGGTTACAATGCAGTATGTGTATGTACCAGTTGTTCCCCAAGAGGAATGATGTTACTATCACAAACATACACTAATAAAGGAAGAACAATGTTTGAAAACAAATTCAGCCCCCTCTTATTTTGGGAAAAGTAGCAAACAGCCTCCTCAGTCTGACTTCAGCCTGCTGACTGCAAAATGTCAGGAGGCAGCTGGGCACGGTGGCACCCGCCTGTGATCCCAGCACTCAGGAGGCTGAGGCAGGAGGATCACTGAGTTTGAGGCCAGCCTGGGCTACAAAGTGAGTTCAAGGCCAGTCTGAACTGTATAGTGAGACCCAATCTAATAAAAAACAAAATGACAAGACAGAAGCTTGCAGCTGCGGAGATGGCTTAGTGGAATAAGCGTTTCCCCGGCAAGCACAAGGGCCTGAGTTCAATCCCCAGTTCCAGAAAAAACAAAAACAAAAACAAAAAACCTGAAGGTTGCGTAGTTGTGTAGTACCGTCTGTGGTACCTGCCAGAGTCTGCCTTGATAAGACCCTGTGCCCATGTCTGCACTGTTGCATGTGTCCCTGTTTCACAACTGCATAACTAATAACCCTAATTTCCTTTTCAGGACTGTAGATGTCATGTCACTCCCTTTCTTCCCCAGGTGTTCAGCTCCCGACAGGCACTGAACGGCCACGCCCGCATTCACGGTGGCACCAACCAGGTGACCAAGACCCGGGCAGCTGTCCCCTCTGGGAAGCAGAAACCAGGGGGCGCCCCAAGTGGGTATTGCTCAGTGAAGAGTTCACCCTCTCACAGCACCACCAGTGGCGAAACAGACCCCACCACCATCTTCCCCTGCAAGGAGTGTGGCAAGTAAGTGACTCGAGCCAGGGACTGGATGCAAGTTCACAGAGTCCTCTGTGGGGTCTGAGAAGGGACAGCGGAGGGTTCTCCCAGGTCCCCCTTCCTGCCATCCTTGAGCTCTGGAAGGTGGAGTGACCGATAGGGCGGCTGTACAACCCTGGTCAGGAGTGCTCTAGAGCAGAGACACCTGAGCCAGGCAGCCTGGTGACACTGCTCAGTCCTGGGCCAGCAGACAGCACTAACCAGCCATGCACTCAGCTGTCACATTAGCATAGAGCTTAGATCCTTTGTATTCTAGCACTTCCAGAGCTGGCTTTGATAAAACTTTGTGCCCATTTTTATGCTGTTGCTTGTGTCAAGCAGCTAATTAGTGTTCATGCACGAGGTGAAACAATTTGTCCTCCTGCCCTTTTAGGTGTAGGGCTACACAGTGACTAAGGGAGGAGGCTGGCCGTAGGGGATGCTGTTTCCTGAGCGCTCACTCTGCTGCCTCCCGTGTGCATGAATCCATGTTGCCCTCACACAGACACTCCATGTGATGTGTGTGCTGTCTCTGTCCTGGGTTTACAAGAAGGGTCTAGGAGCCAGGTGTGGTAGAGCACATCTGTAATCCCTGTGTCCTGAGATGCTGAGGCAGGAAGGTTACAACTTCAGTCGCAGCCTCGGCAGCTTAGAGAAACCCTGTCTCAAAAACAAGAAAAAGATTGGAGATGTAGCTCAGTATGAAGGCGCTGAGTTCAATTCCCACTTTCCAAGTACTGAAGAAAACGAAAGAAAGATTTAGTTTGGTAAAATGCCTTGCCCTGGCACATTGCCAGCGGAGAGCAGCTTTGAACCCAGCTTTGGATTCCTGAATATTGCTCTGTCTTCTCGGTTTGCTTTGCTTACTCACTTAGGGAAGGAAATATTAGTGGTGAGATGCGCGGTTCTCGCCTTTGGAATTCCAGGAGAGAATTCTACCTCCTTCGAGTCTGCGGACCTGAGGGCACTCCAGGATGGGGGGGGGGGGATCCTGTGGGACTCTTCCTCCCATAACATCAGGGCTTCATACCTACTAAATGGTTACCTGGAGAGGTGCAGGCCAGAAGACACCCCGAGGGAGGTGAGAAGGCTATGCCTCCAAGCAACCCTAATGCCCCACAGAGGTGCCCGCTGTGATGCCTTGACCCAGTGCTGCCCTCCTGTGTGCCCTGTAGTCGCTCGGAGCGTGCACAGGACAGCGTGACAGCCCTACCCACTACCTGCTGGGAAACATGGGTTGGTGCTGGGCTGCTTCCCTTGGGGTAACAGTGTAGCCACATTCCCCTCCCACCAGTCGCTTTGGAGCTGAAGTGTTCTGGCAGCACGGGGCAAGCGCCTTCCCCTTCATACCAGGTGGGGACAGAGGATACTTCAGGTTATTCCAGAAGGTGGAGACAGAGGAAGCTTTTTACACAAATGGACTCAGGATGAGCATTTGAAACTCTTGACACCTGAAATGTTCCAAAATTCAAAACTCCTCGAGCATCAGCACGATCCCACAAGTAGAAAATTCCATTCCCTGAAACTTAGTCTCATGCACAAAATTATTAAAAACTATCATACAAAATTACCTTATCACATAAAATTATATGATCAAATAAATTTTGTTTATACTTGGGTGCCAGCCTCAAGAGATCTTAATGATATATATGCAAATATCCCAAAATCTGAGGCACTTCTGGCCCAAGTAGTTTGGTAAGGGAGACTCAACCTATATTTCATACTTTTCAGCTGTCACACAAAAGTATGTGTTAAATTTTTTGTTTGTTTTTATGCTGCTTGAGGTTTTTTCTACCAGAAGTTCAGTTGCTATCTTATGTAAAGCAGTATGCTGGGCCAGGGCTTGGGTTCAGCAGCACAGTACCTGCCTGGCAAATGCAAGGTTGTGAATTAAATTCCCAGTACCAAAACATAAAATAGAATACTTTATATGGTTTTAACATCAAGCAGGTGTTCACAGAATTGTAGCTGCTGATGTGTTTATTACATGAAACGGTTTTCAGTATGTTTAAGTGGAATTCACCAACCTGTTGAATTGGGCCTTAAAAATCAAGGTTTCAGAACTGGGATATGGCTCAGCAGTAGAGTGCTTGCCTAGAAAGCTGGAAGCCCTGGGTTCGGTCCTTGGCACCAAAAACAAAACAACAAAACTCTCCCCTAAAAAAAAAATCAAAAGTTTTGATTTCTTTTTCAGTTTTTTTTTTTTTTAGTTTTTTTCCTTTGTGACCTTGGAAGCCAATATGGAATATTTATTTGAACACCTCCCCCCATAAAGATAGTCTCACATCTGGGCAGGCTATTTCTGAAAGTAGTCCAGAGAACAAACATGTACAGCTTTGTGGGCCACACTGCCTGTGTGAACTGCTCAGCCCTCATCGTAGGGTACAAGCCATCGGCGATGCGCAGACACGCACACTTGGCCCACTGATCATAGTTTGCAGGCACCTGACCTAAAGAGTGAAGCCCTGAGATATGACAGCCTTTTTCCCAGGATTGCCTAACCTCAACACTGCTACAGTGTATGCTTAGTCATTCCCTGTTTGGGGCATAAGTGGGACGCATAGCCGCATCCTGACCGCATCTTAAGAGCAGAAGAGAATCTCCCCCACTCAGCTGAGTCCACCAATAAAGATGAAAATAGCAGGCCATGGTTGTGTACACCTATTATTCCAGTACTGGGGGAAGAGGAAGATTGAAAGTTTAAGCCCAGTCCGAGCACCTTAGTGACTAAGCAAGACCTGGCCCTATCTCAAAATTTAAAAATGTACATGTAGATCAGACCCTAAGACTGCACAAAGAAAAAGAAAAGGAAACCATTGGTGTGGGCCATATAAGGTTACCCATGACACCTGGAGGAGGAAGAGACTGATGAGAGTCTGTGTGTGCAGGCAGACCCTCCATGGAGGAACAGGACTGCAGGCCAGGGCGCTGCGGGTTGCTCTGTAGGGAGACTGTCAGAGCTCTTAGCATTCTTGGGATTCTCCAGTGGAGAGGAGAGGGGAGGAGGAGGAGGCAGGAGCCGAAGGAGAAGAAAGATCAAGAGCCCCAAACTCCAGAGGGACAGGAAAGCCTGTGAGAAGGCTACCTCCTTTATCCTGGGAAGAAGGCATGTCCAATTACCATGCTCTGGTCCCCATCCCTCCTCTCTGTGATGCTTAGGAGGATGTGACAGGTCACAGCAGGAGGAAGTCCTGAATTCTGGCAGAGACACCCCAAAGCAGCCATCCAGCCTGCACCCTGTTCCCTATAGGACACTAGGATTTCTAAGGACTCCATCACTTGCCGCTTTTTCCTTTTCAGGGTCTTCTTCAAGATCAAAAGCCGAAATGCACACATGAAAACTCACAGGCAGCAGGAGGAGCAACAGAGGCAGAAGGCTCAGAAGGCAGCTTTCGCAGTCGAAATGGCAGCCACGATCGAGAGGACTACAGAGCAGGTGGGGGCCCAGAGACTGCTGCCCCTGGGCCAGCTGAGCTTGGTCAAACCCATCAAGGACGTGGACATCCTCGATGATGATGTGGTCCAGCAGTTAGGGGGCGTCATGGAAGAGGCTGAGGTCGTGGACACCAATCTGCTCTTGGATGACCAAGACTCGGTTCTGCTTCACGGTGACACGGAACTCTAAAGCCTGTTCATTGCTTCCAGATGGTGAGAACCCACTGCCTCCCTCGTCGTGAATCAGAAGCCTGGACTGCCCGCTTGTCTTGTAAACCCTTTTAAACTACCTGTTTAAAAAGTGGTCATTTTATTCAGGTTTAGGAAAAAAATCATTTCTTATTTTTTTTAAATTGTTTTTGTTGGGGGTTGGGGGGAATAAATAATTGGCACAACTATCTTTAAGAGGTGTTTCATCTGGGCTATACCCTCATGAGACGATCATCATTCTGCATGTCAACCATCCTGGTTGCCTTCCATCGCCAAGCTTGCTGGAAGAGTGTGTGTGTGTGTGTGTGTGTGTGTGTGTGTGGTGAGGCTGGCAGCCTTGTTTGTGCTGGCGCCCTGGTCATCTTTTCCACCTGCAGTTATTTTTATTCTGTTCTGACCCACCAGGAAGTGCTTCTTTTCCCAACAAAATGGCTCAGAAGAGCCTGTTCTTTTGTTTGTGCTCAGTGGAGGACTAAAATTACTTTGTGCCACTTGGATGTCCCCTGAAACCTCCTCCACTGGGACCTTGCTGTTTTTCACACCTGAAGTGAACCGGCTAGCCATGAAGAGTGAGAGTTCTGTAGGACGTGGAAGGGAAGCTGCATTGAGGCCAACAGAAGTGGTTTCAGATACACTTTAGCTAACCATTTTGCATTGAAACCATGAATGTATCCTCTCCAAGTCACTTGCCAAAGCATTTCTAGACGTTACTAAGCTGCTAAGCTACATGACTTTGTTCTGCCACCTCCTGCCCCTGGCAGCAGGGCTGCTGTTGGTACTTGAAGGCAATAAGCCTGTAATCCTTCAAAGAAGTCATTGCCCAGGCTTCTGAACTGAGTCCAACTGACCCATCCTACTGCTGGTGCAAAAGTTGGCCAAGAGCACAGCCCTGCGCAGAGGACCCTGCTCCTCCTCGGCTCCCCATCAGTGTTAGTGCTGCAGGGCCCCTTCTCCCAGGCCTCCCTGCTGAGGTGGACTCCTCCCTGGTACCATGGCAGTGCTGCTGGGCCACTGTGCTGGCCCACTGACAGCCTGACATTACAGAGACTACAGCAGAGGCAAGGGTATGACCTGGGCATCCTTAGAAGTCAGCTCTGCAGGCGGCTCAGCAGCAGCCATGGAGCCAGCTATAGTCGGCGCAGCCCCCAGGCAGTGGCTTCTGAATCTCAGGGAAGCCACATACAAAAGAAAAGTAGATTCACTCGGCATTATTTTGTTTTCAGAGAAGTTGTTTTCGAGATTTTCTTCATCTTTCCTTAAGGAAAAAAAAAGAGTAGTTTGCCACCATTTCAACAGGTTGTTCCGTCATGTGTTTTACCAAGGCAATTCTGAGTTCAGAACTAACTCCCTGGGCATCGTGCACCAGCTCCCAGCAGGGCTACTACAGAACCCTCCCAGCTGCCATGTCATTGGCTGGTCACAAGGTAGCCTCTGCCCTCTGGTGTCTGAGGCTGACTGCCGCAGGGTTCTGCATTGAGTCTCATTGGGAGAATGGCCCGGTTCTTCCAGTTGTAAGCATTAGACATACATTGAGCTGTCACAGCAAATACAAGATGCACAGTTTGGTTTTAATTTTCCATGCAGCATAGTGCAAGGACCTCTACTTGAAATAACCAAAGAACTCCTCCTTACTGAGACAGTTCAAATGACCTGAATTAGTACTTCTCACTCTCTACTTTAAGAATTGACTTCCTATAAAATATTGCACTTGTTTCTTTTCTGGAATGATTCCGCCTGCACGTGTGTGTTACGTCCCGATCTCTCCCCACAGCCCACCCCAAAGAACTTTCCTTCCTGACTGTTCATGTCTTCAACGTGGTTACTGTTTACGATCAGATGGTTTTTCATTCGTGAATTTAGACCTCTTCGAGAAAGCTTGTATATAAAAAAAGTTAACAGATATATTTTATGGAAAAACCCATCTTATTTTCAAATATATTTAACTGCTGTTATATTTTATTAGAGGAAGGTTGTAAATATTTTCTAGGAGTTCTATTGTAAAGAAAAGTATTTTTGAAAAAAATTAATGTAATAAAAAGGAAAACATTTTTAAATAGCGGTTGTGATTGCTTCCTGTCCTGGCTTCGTTATGTTCTATTCTCAATCAACAAATGACTCGCATGCCTTCCATATTGGGATGTAATTTATTCAGGTTTGCACTGTTCTGTAACTTGACATCATAATATCTAGTGTGCTTAACTGTACTTTCCTGGAATGCAGGTCCCCTGGTCTATATCAAAGCACTATGTATAGCATATTCATAATTTTTCTTTTGTAACGTGTGTATTTTTAATAAGGATTTTATGTAACATTTTGGCAAAAACCAGTATTTTCTAGTGAATTTTATAATAACATTTTGCTAAAAATGTTTCTTCCTAGGTCAGTTTTTGTTAAGGTGAACCAAAAGTCTTATTTTACAAGGGGTTTGAAAACAGTTTGAGACTTGAAAGCAAAGTTATATTTAAACATCATATGTTACAAATAAATAAAGATGTTTTATAGACTTGTCCTAAAAAGGTGCATTCCTTAAAAAAAAAAAAAAAAAAATCTGGGGCATTCTAGATTGTTTCCCATCCTGCGTGTGAAAGATTTTTTTAAATTATCACAATACTTTTTTTAAGAAGAAAATCAGGAGAATTTTGATTAGGTTCCAGTCATTCACCTTCTCAGAAATTGATTACAATTCCTATAGGTGGGCATTCATCAGAGAGAAATGTAACCAAATACACACTGTCATATTTATTTGTGAAAACCTGATTCGATATTGCATCAGCTGCTCTGAAAATAAAATAACTTTTCTGAGTTTCTTTTGCCTTAAATATTCCTTATTTCTGGACACTGACACAACGGGATGCTGGATCAAGGCTCATTTGCCTGGTCTCAGCTCCAGTACACAGCATGCTGAAAGGTTTGCTGCCAGTCAGATGTAAATCTCATTAAATCGCCCCTGCCACACCCCCGGGGCTGCTGGCCCTCCTGCGTGCGGAGGAGGAGCTTTCTGAAGACACAGCCCTCTAATCCACGACGCTCATAGGCATCTTACAGGAAGTGGTCAACATCTGTGCCCACCCTGGCCTAGGTATGTAGTCAACCTGAATTTCCAACTTTTTATGTGCATTACTTTTTAAAAACTGAACTATAATGTATATTTGGGGCTGGCAAGATAGCTCAGTGGTCTAAAGCGCCTGCTTAGGCAAGCATGCAGGGACCTCGGTTCGATCCCCAGCACCACATACCATGCCAGCCCTGCCCACAGGGTGGGCTGAGCTGACCATAAAAAAA